TAATATACCTACAGATGAAACAATAATTAGAAAGGTATTTGAATGTGCAGAGATGGATAAAATGACCATGGAACTAAAAGAAAGAGAAGAATTGGATTTCTATAAAATATGGAATAGAATTTATAAGTGGCTAGAAAACAGAAGCCAAAACAGGAAATAGAAGTCTTTCTTTGTGTTTTTTTTTCTAAACTAGTATTGAATAAAAATTAACCAAAGTTACTAATTACTATCAAACTTAAAATATTGACCACAATGTAAATGTAATGGTAATATGAACAATTAATATTATTACAAGTATTAGTACAACTGTTATTACACTATTACAGAAGTTAAAATCGATAAGAAGGCAATGTAGAATGGTAAATTACAATACAGAAGGCTGTATAACTATTTTATATTGTTATGTTTGCCTTATTTTTTCTTGCCCCCCCCGTTTTTAAAGGTAAAAATGTTTAATAAAAACTATTTTAAAAAATTAACAGGAGTGCAACATGCTTTATCCTGATGTTACTCTTAATTTACTGTAGAATATTTATTAAATCATTCTTTGTCATTTTTTTAAAAAGTGCCATAAAATAAACAGGCCATTATTCATTTTTCATTCTGTCATAATTAACATCATAAAATGAAACCATAATGCACAGAAATAATCTAGGGGGGAATTAGAAGTAAAAAAGGATTTGCTTAACATGTACCAATACAAGTACATGTATTGGTAATATATCAATACAAATATAAATATATGATAGAATTGAAAGCGTTCTTGAAGGTTTTCTAGTCCAGAGAAAGAAAATATACAAATGTTTATCCAATTTTTGTTCAAAACTGCCAGTGATAGAATTTCCAGGATACAGATTCTTCCACTGCTTCAAACCTCATATTTTTTCTAGGTGTCCAGTAGGTTGTAAAGAGATTGAACACTGGAATAATTGGTTCTCTTAGCTGCACAAGCCAGCACTTTTGCCATGGATAAGAAAAGAATCTCAAAAATTGTAAAACATATGCTCAGTGAGTCCCTTATACTGAATATACTGTATATTAGTTATACTACTCCAAAATTACAATCATACTGGGGAATCAGGAAGCAATTTAGCTGTAACAGATTAGACATTGGCAACAAATGGCAGTCCAGGAAAGCCCTCACATTTGCAACCTTGAATTTCAGAATGAAGTAGTATGTAATTAGTACATTAACGTTTGATATGATTCTAAAAATCAGTGGCAATCTAAGAAATGGAAGGCTCAATAACAAACCAAAGGAAAACTATAATCCTATTTCTGGGGATATGGATTACTGGCAACTCTCTTAGAAGCTGTTTCCAAGAGTCCCCTATCAAACAACTAAGGGAACTTTGGAAACAGTTTTCATTTGGTTAAACTTCCAGGAGCAGAGGATTATTATCCCTGTACCCAAGTCTCATGTTTTTATGCTAATTCTCTGCTTTATAACATAACGTAGCATAACATCATAGCGTAACACCACACATAACATAATATACATACACATTCATGCACACACATATATACAGACACATACACACACACACACACACACACACACAAATACTTTTAATCATTTCATACCATAAATAAAATAATCTGAATACCTATACAATAACAATCATTTTTCAAAGCGTACTTATTAGAATGGCATTATACATAATCCTCACAAGATTTTTTCCCTATCTTTCTATGAGAGTCCAAGTGCATTTAAACAGGACTGGTCCACCATCTAGTGTCACAATGATTAGTGAACTTTATTTAAATTGTCCCTTCCTTGAAATAAATGCTAATCTAACAACCAAAATTAAATATTCTATTAAATATTAACACAAACATCAGATATTTTATTAGACTATAGTGTATTTGCTGTACAAACTTGCAATAAGAATTCATTACCATTTGCTCAAAACAGAACAATAAATAGCAGGTGACAACAAAGTTGTATTAATTTTAAGTTGGAAACAGATCAACAAATGGAAGATTGTACCTTGCAACAATTTCATCTGATATGTATATTATTGCAGGAACATAGGAGTTGTTCTGCTGCAATCCATTCTTATGCATCTCCCATTCACATGTAGGTGGAAAAACAATGTGAACATTGCTGATATTGGATGCCTTGGTACATTAGTATTTTAATGATGAAACAATCTAGGTTAGGTAGTAAAATGATTACATTGAATGGGTCTAAAACTAAATGTGTATGTATATTCCAGCAAATCCATTCTAAGCTTTCTCTGTAATGATGCGCCATTTTTTCCCTGAATAATTTAACTGAGCTAATATTTATATTTATTTATTGGGTTGTTATTAAATATAAGTCTGCATCCTGCATTGTCTATTTCTCCTTCTCTCTTTCTTTCTTTTAATAGAGAATACTCTGCAGGAACTTTGACTTCTTTAAAAAATCAAAGAATGATTTTTCTCAAACATTCCCAAATATTGTAGTACTACAGATATAAATTGTTATGCACAGTTCTTCATTCAAATTAGTGAATCAGTCATTTATTAATTTCAAAAAAATTGTCTCTTTATGCTATCTACTTTCCAGTGAGATGGGGAGCAAACAAATTTAATAATAAATAAATAAAATGACAGCTCAGAATGAGTTTCAGAAATACAATTAAAATAGCTTGATAATAATTATATGCAGCAGGTCCAATAATAGCTGCTTTATTAATGATCTAAGAATGTAGGATTTACTGCGTGGAAATAGGCAGTCCTAAAATCTTGATGCTAAATTGCTTAAGACTATATATTACTGTAAACACCTGGAATTGGTTTTGAAGTCAATCTTAGTATAACATATAGATGATGTAGGATCTTGGCAGGTTTATCACCTATCACTCAAAAAAAAAATCACCCTCCTCTCCATTTGCTGATAGTTTCTGTCTATTCATCATTAATGGGGGATCCCAGGGACCTCCTGACAGCAATCTGGTCTTTAAGAAGTACATCCCCAGTGAGAACAGGCTTTAATCCTAAATTATGTTCCTAAAATTAGGAACAACTCTGATGAACAGAAGTTTCTTAGGTACATCTTTTGACAGGAATGAGAGAAATAGGAATAATAGAAAGGAAAAAAAATCTACAAATGTCCAGGAAGATACATTGGCAACACTACCAAAAGACACAGAAATGTCCCATTACCTCTTTCTCACCTCATCTATAGATCAAGCACCAGGGTGATAAAATTTGTATTCATGTAAAATCCACATCTAGACCAAAGCTCATTATCTACATGTCCTGAAGCTCAAAGCTTTTCTTTACCAGCTTAACTAAACATGAAATAGAAACAGCCAATAATAATAAAAAAGATAAGCAAGAGCATTACTAAGGTGATCAGATTTTCAGATTGGTAAAGAGGGACACCTTTGACCGGGGGGAGGGGGGGTGCTTGATTAAAATTTTTATATGGAGCAACAAAAATTTTCATACAACGCAAAAATAGTATTGTAATATTTTTTTATTTCAACATAACTACAATTTACAAATATAAATTGTAACTGTTGCCAAACATCAAAATTTTGATCACGTGACCATGAGGATGCTGCAATGGTTGCTAAGTGTGAAAATGGTCGCTAAGAGTGAAAAATGATCATCAGTTACTTTTTTCAATGCCATTGTAACTTTGGTCACTATACCACCTTTCTTGCTACAGTTCTTAAGTGAATAACTGCAGCTGTTATTTTGTATTTTGGATAGAATCTTTTTTTAAATAGTCTAAGACAATTTAAAAAAAGAATCCACACAGAATAAAACTATTTTAAAAAATCCTATGTACAATAAATAAAATATTATTTTAAAATACATTAAAAAAAATAAAAGAAAAAAACCCAGCTCACTTACCAGCAGGCTTGCGCTCCAAGTCAATTCAGAATGATGTAGATGTTAATACAAAGAACTGAGCAAATTAAAATGGTGAAATTAGTCAGGGAAATATTTTTCAAAGAAACTTGGCCACCATTTTTCCCACACGAGCCGACCTCCAACCTCCGTGCCCCTCCCGTCTGGAAAATCCAGGAAGGAACACTTGCGACTTCTCTAACCAAGTATTTCCTGGAGCTCTATGGTACTGGGTCATTTTTTCTTATAAAATGAGGTAAAAGGGCAGGGGGGTCCGTTTTGTTGCTTTAATGTTTTAATATCTTCAATGAAAGTACTGAGACAGAGAGAGGGCTAGACAGAGTGTCTTTTGTCTTGCCCCGGTTAGGATTTCTTAAGCAAATCCACTGGGCTTTCAACATGAAGCCAGAAAATTGGGACTTTTTAAAAATGTCCCAGGACACGGGACAAATTGTTATAAATCGTGACTGTCCCACCAAAATCGGGACATTTGGTCACCTTAAGCATTACCATCACCTCTTTTAAGTGGACAAAATACTCCACCTGAAAAAAGGATTGTTAATTTACAGAGTCATAATAAGACAAAGTATCCAGAAATCCATATAAGCTAGGCTGAGATCAAGCCTATAAGGACTGACATACTAAAATCTATTGACTGTTATTGTTAGGCACATATACTTCCAAATACAATTATTTTGTTTTAATAAACAAATACCATGACCATTCTTGACATCTTTACAATGACATACTTTATATATTATTATTTTGACATTAACAAATATATAATTCATGTCCATCATACTATTTTCTTTAAACATTATATAAGCCAAAGATGAAGAAATAAGCTACAAAAACTTGTATCTAAATGTTCATATTATTTATACATATATTTCTGTCTCTGTAAATATATCTGCTTTTATCATATCCCTGTCCGGGTTCATATATTACCTTTGGTTCCTTATGTCTAGTCAAATAATATTTTAAATATGCATGGAAAACAGGATATTATTTAGAATTGAATTTGCTTTATATGCAGTTTAGATTTTGAATGAAATAGTTTTAAATCATTTTTTATTATTTTAACATATTGTTCTCCTTTCCTTTTTATAAAACAAGAACAACAAAAGACAACTTTTTTCTTCTTTCCTTAGATTTGATGTTGATACAACAGAACTTCACAGTTGGATGACTCGTTCAGAAGCTGTACTACAGAGTCCTGAATTTGCAATATATAGAAAAGAAGGAAACCTATCTGACCTCAGAGAAAAAGTTAATGTAAGGGGAAAAATATATTTACTTAATTTATATAATATTTTTAGAACTAGTATGTTATCAGCTTGAAGTTTTACTATGTATTTCCATTTGATAAATGACTGTAGATTAATTTCAGGTTTGAAATATATTGATAAAGTATGCATAAATGCTTTTATGCTTTAGTTTGCTATCATCCTGTCCTAAAATATAAATAATGCAACTAGGTGTATTCAGTGACTGCTATAAAATATAAAGCTTGGCGTCCCAAAAGTCAATAATGTTATATATTTAAATGCATGTTTTGAGAAAGATTATAAACTTGTCAGTGTGACATTTGAATAAAAGAATGTTTACAGGCAGAAGATCTTTGTAAAATATATAATGCTGAGATACATTTGAGTCATATTAATATGCATTTTTAAATGCTTAGCTTTCTGAATTCCTTTTAATTGTCCCATTTTACCCCCCCCCCAAATTTGGCATGCATTTTTTTTTCTCTGCAAAATTGTATTTTAAGTTAGTAATGGAGAAATATTATTATTTCAGAAACATATTTATGACATTTCTTGGAAGATACTCAGAAAACCTTTTTCTATTTTAATGGGATTTCACATCTAACTTGGAACTTGGAGAATATTCCCTGGCAATGCTATGTAATTGTCTTTGATACTGCAATTATCTTTTGTGTTGAACAGCCCTAAAAAGTTCTAGTGGCTGATTTCTTGTACCATCTGGTCATGTTCCATTAATCTATCATTTCAGTGTTATACAATTTTTGCTTATGTACTTACAACTATTTTCTAATTTATATTCTTGGAGAGAGCATGTAAAATGGCAATCCGTGCACATGTAATTGGAAGCAGAAGGGGAGAATTTCTGAACACTTTTTAATAATTCGGAGAAAGGTACTGATATGCATTCACATGTGCTGAGAGCCTTGTTTCAGAGGATTTATGTAGCTATGCAATATCTACTCTCATCAGTTCTTCATAAAGCATTCATGGGGTTAAAGTGCAGGTAGATGAAGTATGAATTAGATGCCACAAATGCAAAGCAGCAAAATGTTGCATTTAATACTCAATAAAAGATAGAAGCTATTACTATAGGGAGGAAGCAGTGGTTTCAGTAATAGTTTATTATTGCTGCTTAGGTTAAGTATAATTACTACTTCAAAACAGATTAATAAAAGGGACATTTAAAGGAGTCATGAAATATTTCATATTTGATAATTGCAGAATCTGATTAACCAAGCAAAAAGGTGGAATTTAGATAAATGAGAAACAATTTAAGTTTGTATGGACTGAAAATATCATGAATATTTAAATATAGCAATATTTTTCAGATTTATCAAAGATAGAAGACAACATGATTGCTTTTAAAACCACATTCATCTAATCAAGGTTTCTGTTCGCCAAACTTTGAAAAGCGTTTCATGTGAAATGCTCAACCTTTTTTTTTAATCATGTTACAGGTCATAGAAAGAGAAAAACCTGACAAGTACAGGAAGCTTCAAGATACCAATAGATCATGTGAGGCCCTCGTGGAACAGATGGTGAATGGTAATTACATGGCAGTGGATTTATATAACACTCTTAGTGGGTTTTTTTTAAATTTTATTTACAAACATGTAAAATACACACAAATAAAACTTAGATGTACACCACATTTACACAATACAATACGAACAGGAGCTTCCTGGTTTTTTTAATAGCAATTGCCAATTGATATCGTTCACCTTATATTGTTTCCCTTTCTATTATATTTCATTTGCATTTCAGCATTCTTAACCCTCTTATCTTATTCCTCTGTCTGCTATATTGGCTGATTGCCTCTAGTAAATTTAAACCACTTGGAGATACATATACATATACATATACATATACATATACCTATACCTATACCTATACCTATACCTATACCTATACCTATACCTATACCTATACCTATACCTATACCTAT